GCTAATGTTAAAGAAGCCAAGTGAAAGATTTGGGAACAAAAACATTAACGAATTCTGTGACAGACAAAACTACTTTAAAACCTTCAGTGATTTGTTTTCAAATATCAGTATATGCAAGCAAGCAAACATCGCATATGGAATGAAACCCCTGAATCCTTCAATCGACTTTGTAACCTGTTGGATATGACTCCCACTCCATCAGTTTTACTAAGAAATACAAGATGAAACCACACACTGAATGATGAAAACAGGATGCTTTTTTTCATATAAGACTAAATTTGCATTGCTCAAATCCAGAAAAAAAAAAAGATCAAAAGCTTGATGTATCATATGATATTTAGGGAACACCACCCTCAGTAATGGTGACAGATTAATAAATTGATCATTTAAACCAGAATGGAAATCCTCGTTGCACACATTCTTTTCATCTTATAAAGCTTTTGAAGTCTCTAGCTGTGTTCCTGCTGGATAAATACATTGCTACCCGTCCTTGTTTATTTCACTGACACCCGAATGCCTTTTAATATCATTGTAAAATGGAGCTGGCCATTTTTCCTCCCACATAAATGTTTGCTTTAATTGAAATAAGACATTTAACTTTTCTCTCACTAAGGAGCCTTTCGCCAAAGCTGTTGTTTTTAAAGACATCCTCTACAGCTCTCTGCAATTTGCTACTGCTCAGCATATGATGAGTTGTGTCAACAGCAATCTGGTCTGTCAATTAAAAGATCAAAAAATAAAACACAGGCCCGACTTTGTGTAAACCTCTTTCCCGTTGTAAAGTTGGTATGAAAAGCTTTTGAATCACTCCTCTGGCCCAGCCCCAGGAGCAGCAGCACCGCCTCCCGAGCCGTGCCCCTGCGCTCCGTCCCCTGCAGCTGAAGACCAGGGGCACGAGAAAGTCGAACTCGGGGCCATACCTGACACCTGAGCATCTGAAACTTCCACCACGAATTTGATGCTCAGCTCACAAAATTTAAAACATCTTTCCAGCTGCAGACAGCAGTTTTCCAGAGGAATTAATGGAAAAGTAAAGCACATAATGACAGAAGGCATTGGATTTAGAGCAGCATGCTCTTTTTGCTTAAAAAAATCAATAAGCTGTGGGCAAAACCTGAAGAAAATTAAAAGGAAGTATAAAATCCTTTTTTTTTGCAAGAAAATGCACAGCCACAGCAAATCATGAGGGACATATCTTTCACCCCAGGGCTGGCAAACTGGATGAGAAGCAGTTCTACAGAGAGCAATTCAATTCCTCCTATCGCACACATCGCACATATTTCGGCTGGTGATATTATTTGCATCACCAGCTCCTAATGACTTTCTTAACAGAGCACCAGGAGTCCTTTGACTATCAAGTAAGAACCATTAAATAGTGCTTGCTTCTTAAAGATGTCTCAGATTGTCACCAGTGATTTGTCATATCAGAGATTCATCAGAAGGCAAAAAATCAGGCAATCCTGCCCAACAAGATTAACAAATGACTGTGCTCAGAAATTTGCAAATCATAAAGAGCATAAACAGAAAGACGTCAGATGTTCTTTACAAGTGTTATTGGTTGCCACTGCCAATCCCATCCAGCGTCTTTGTTAGCACCAGACCGGACATCTGCAACCTCACCCAGACCTTCTCTACTCTGGACTCTGTGCAGTTGTTTACATCCGCACAAACGCTACCTGTTCCTACCTGGCAGTGCCTTATACTCACGCTGTTCAGCTCTGCACAGAAGTCCAAACTTTGACAGGATGCAGAGGAGTAGAAATTCAGCCTCTAAAATGTTTAAGTATTTGGGGGAACATCATGTGGAGCTGAGAAGAAAAAGGACACAATAACCTGTGTAGAAGGGGGGAAAGCGCCCCAGGTTTCCTCCACGTGGGCAGTCAGCGGCAGAATGCTTACAGTTTAGATGGAGTTTGGTCCAACTTTGAGAATACCGAAAGGAGAATGGAAACAGCGCATCACATCTTGATGTCGAGATCAGGGCACACCAAGCATGTTTGGATTACAGAAAAGCTCTCCCATTTAGCTTCATTTCCCTTAAATATTAGTGTTAAGGATTAGTCTCTGACAACTGTGGCAGTTAACCGTACCTGAGGAATTACACTTATTTTTTTAGTTAAGCAAGTAGATGGTCCAAAGTTTAGCATCCTTTCCTATTGCCTGTCCCGAAGATAACCTCAGGGCTGTCAGTATAACCAGACACATTTCAGACCAGTAGAAAAGCTCAGAGACGAACCTATTCCACTTTGTGTTGTGACCGAGTAGGAGCATACACCATCCATTACCACGACTCCTCAGTAAGAGTGTTACCTCCAACTACAGGAGCACTAACTTTCTATTCATGCAACACCAAGATGCATCCACCCCACCTTACACCAGCAAAGCCCTTACGTTTCGTCTACACCCTCCCGTAAGGAGGCAGGCATGGCACTATGACCAAGCTAGTGCTACGATTAAGGGAGATGGCACTTCACATCCCACATAGGCTCAAATTATCAGTACAATTAGAGCATTTCACAAGCGGCAGTGGAACAGAGGCAGTAAATGTCACAGCAAAATTGGAGCTATGCTGGTGAAGATCCCAAGTATTGACCAACTAGAAGAAATACTGCTTTTCTTCAGCACCAAAACTAAAATAATTGTCCCCTTTTTTCTCCTTTCAAACCTCACTTTTGAAAGACTTGCACATCACCTAGCTTAGAAGACTTGCCTGTAAGACTCATGCCAATTAAAACTGGAATCCAAAGCAACATTTTCTCTTACAAGGATTATAGTTCTGCACAAATAAAAAACAATTACAAAACAGTTAACACAGACCTGCATGGTTAGGAGTGTGACAGGAGAGACGATGGCTAGATGTGGACTATGTGTATAACTAATGACTGCAGGGAAGGTTTTCCCTTACGTGCACATTTTGTCTCCTGTGTGCATATGCGTTACCTGTGGACACATGATGGAGATGGAACCATGGGGCTGAGGCCTTGCTTGCCTCTGCAATGACAATAGGCTTGCTGACCAAAAAGAAGTTCTAACTTCTTTAGAGGTGATTTTTAAAGACTCTAATGTCACTACATTTTTATTAGTATACAGAAAAGCCTTTCACAGCCAAAGAAGGAGAAAAAATAGGTAGTGCTATGATAATTAGAAATGGGAAGGACATGTCTTATGATGAATGAGCTGCCAGCTCACTCACATTAGGAAGAGAACATGTAAAAGCAAAGTTCCAGGAATATAGAGATAGTGGGGAAAGCTCACACTGAACCCAGCATGGAGACACAGCCCCATCCCTTTTAACTCCTAATCTCCACAGCAGTTGATTCTCATTTACAGACCAACAGCTTCAACTGACTCCACCTCCCTCGCTCAGGGAGGCCTCCTCTAATTATTTCCACCATGACAGAAGACCAAAGATGTGATTCAGAACAGAGTAGTCAAATCATCTCCAAACTCTACTTACACCTCACCTGCTTTTGTGTCTCATTCCCCTATCTGACTCAGATCCATACCTTTAGAAGCCACAAATCTCTACTGGAGCCTTCCATATTTCTTCATGGACTTCAACTGACATTTAGCACATTTGATCTAGCATATAAAATTCACCAATCTTGTAAAACTCCAGCACAGTAGAATATTACTGCCTTCTTTCTCACATTTACATCCTCAATCTTAAAGAACTAATTCAAAACACACAGCTTGTTTTTAACCTATTCCGAGTATTTATTTTGCTAACACCTCCTTTGCAGACCTTCTAGTATGTATGTTACTGCTGCTTCCTTCTACACACAGTCACTACAGAGTCAGTCTTCTATTCCAAGTCATCCAGAAGATCATTTTTTCGATCTCAAACGTCTCATCTTAGTCTAATTATCTGCTCCTACTTCTGTTCCCTGGTGGTTATTTTGGTCCTTCAGGAAACTAGAAAATTAACACGGTTTGAATACCATTTGTATAGGAAATGAAACTCAATCATGTGGCACTGCAGCAGGATACTTAACTAATCTTTGATTTCAGAGAAGTTCACTGTATGAAAGCTAACACAAAGGTGCCCAACGTTTCCAAGGCAGAAGATCAGAATGGCAATTTGCCAGATACATGAGGGCTGAACAAAATTTGCATCCATATTTACATAAATACCGCAATCACTATAGTTTAGACTGGAAAAGAATAAGTTCTTAGTCTAACCACCAGTTTTCACACACTTCTGACTTTCCAAAACATTCACCTTAGAGGCTGAAATATTCCATGCTAGGTCCATATTTAGAGGATGTTATTTATTTTAAAAGACTAAACCACACTCCTTCAGCCTTTTTAGGCTCTCAGAACTCATCACACAATGACATGCAAGAAAAAACTCAAGAAAAAAAAGAAATCAATGACAATAACATGTGTGAGTTGCCACGTATTAAACCTTTAAATTAAAATTGTTGCTGAAAAGATAAGTAGCCAGAGTTCAGGAATAAAGGCACATCCAGATGGCAAAGTTAATGCAGCGTAGATATGGTGTCCATTTACACCACACTAGCTGCTCCAGGTTAGCTACTTCTACAATTTCTGTCATGAAGACTTCAGTAGCATCACTGGATTTCAATCCAGTTGGTGGCAGCAACAGAAAATGGGAACACAGCTTACCATGATATGTTGGGGATCAGTCTCCGCATAACACTAGTTTTGTATGTTCTGAATGCGAAGCCTATGAAATATTTATGATATGGAAGGTCTATTGCACCAGACTGTCCAAACAGATTAAAATAAAAACGAGCAACTGCTCCAAGTGACTAGCACATTATGGTTGTAAGTTCTCAACCAAAACTGGGAGATCTTAAATTTCTTCAGTGAAGTCAGCTATACTGAACATATTGTTTTTATTTCAGATTCCAAGTTAAATAAAACCTGTATTATTTGCTATGACTAAACATGAATAACTGCCAAACATTTAGAAAACCTGAGTGACCACAGAAAATTCCAGTCCAATAGGGCCAACAAATAAGGAAATACTAAAATATCATTAAAATTTGCTTTTATTTTTCTTACAGGAGAATTCTACACAAACCAAGGTGACTCTGTTTTACAAGACTCTTTTCCCAATATACTAAATTTTCAAGAGGATCGTGAACAGTATAAAACTGTAAATAACTTTTCCTGTTGAGGGCTACAGCAAAGTTTCTTCAGTTGTTGTAATCTTGGAGAGCCTGAGCCATGAAAAGCTTGCCCAGGTTCTGCGCGTTGAACTCCTTAATATTCTGGCAGTAGGTATTAATTTGACCTGTCAATAGGAAAGAAGAGTAAACCCTTGTCAGTTTTGAAATTCAGAAACCTAGAACATAATTTTTAAAGAGCCAAATGTGCATGAATCATTCAGGATTTATACAGGGAAGCAACAGCTCAACTACTCGGCACTTAGGACTTTTACATTTTCAGTATTCCCAAATAATAAGAAGAAACTAAATTAGCAGAATAGATAAACTGGTATGCTCAAAAAACCCTTAATTTTCCTACAATTCTATTACGAACAATTTCTGAAACGACATATGACAATAAAAAGAATAAACAATTCTTGCTGCTGTATTGAAAGCTTAATCAGTTTAATTGTTAATTTAGTTGCTTGAAAATACTACAAGACTGAATTTTAGTCCTGTTCTTATGCATCTGCTGTCCCTATTAAAATATTTGTAACAAATATTTTTCAGTAGCCGATTGAAAATCGTGGTACTCCTGTTTGACATTTTGCTAGCCTTTTTTTCCACCTAATATTTCACTTTATTAGCTATTTCAAAAATCATCAGGGTATGAAGACTTGTCAGTGCTTTACAAATCAAACGTGCCCATCAAAACATTTTTATACACATACTGCTACAAGTTATTTCCCTTGTTAGCTAGGAATAGCAAAACATGAAGCCACCTTAATCAAAATTAAGACTGTTTAGAAGGCCAATAAACTCTCAATTTAATGCTCTATTTGAAAAGTTTTTAAATGCCTCAGAGACAAAAGAGCTAAATTTTATTCTTTATCCACAAACTTTACTTCATTTAAGTTGAAGTGGATGCTTTCAATTCTTCCCCTGACTATGGTAAAAGAACAGACGAAGAGAGTGCTTTGGCTGAAAACTGTTTTTTCCTTTAAGTATAATAGTTTTCAATTCCTCCTCTTATAAGAGATGATTCATCCTAAGCTATCACTTTCATAAAACACACGTGTACACACATACACACTTCTGTTGCATTTTTAAGCTATGCTAAAGCTGAATGTTTAAATACTTTAATGCTGCTAGGATTCATTAACTGGTAAAAACTATCAAAACAACCATTTTTGAAAGACTCTGGAAGGAATAATAAATCAAGAACATTATTTCTTCTAAAAGCAGCACTTATTAGCAGTGTGAAACAGTATTAATATTAAAATAATAATCTCTTGGTCACTCCAAAATTTAAGAGTGGTAGTTCAAATTCACTTACTTTTTTTTTTTTTTATAATGCCAATTTCCTGTACACTAAATTACCAGGACGTTGGTTTAATTTTCTCTAAGTACAAAACAAGGTGATAGCTAACTGATCCAAAAAGCTTGCTATAGTTAAACAATTTGCTTTCTCATGACATTTTCCAAATTTAGATTACTTAGCAGGGCATCTAGGTTTTCTGCTCTCTGTTGCCATTGTGAGGTCCCAGGTATTTTTACTCTTCCAGGAGGCACAGGACAGGCACTGACTTTTGTACCAAACTCTGACTACGTACTGCAGCATATCAGTAAACTGAAGAAATTGGGGGGCTGGGACCTATACCTATGCTTTGTTTCCATTTACATTTTCATTCACCTTGGGGTGCAGGAAGATGGGGATAATTTCCCTAAAACCCTGGCCATAGAAATCAAAGAAATTACCCCAATTCTGTGTGAAATTAAAAGTAAAATCTTCTCAGCTGCTGCAATACCTAGGGATGTTACCAGTAACTTAGGGCTGCAGACAACTGCTCTGCTCTGAATCAGTAGTTCCAGCCCAAACAGCTTATTCCTGCCTCTTGAATGTACAGCCCCCTAACTTCTGGACTTGAGTGCAGGGGGCAGCTTATTGACTGCAGTAGTCGCTACACCCATTCATGCAGAAAGCCTGCTCTGTGGGGCATTTCTCCAGCTCCCCTTTAAAATCCCATTTCACCCGCTCAGAATGGAGCCAGGAAGAGGATCTGTCTGCTGCTCCTGCCCTTTCCCATCAACCCAGGAGGCACAGATGGTCAAGCAGGAGCTAGGCACTATGGCAAAATAAGAAATAAAGGGAGAAAGTCTCCATACATCAGGTTTAAAGCTTTATGCAGCCATTCTGGTTAAGCACAGTGGCTCGCTTTCAAAAAATTACGTATGTTCATATCCGCATGGGTAACATGCCTCTGTTACTTACCCAGATGGTTTAAAATTCTTCTATGTGTGGAAGCTTACTTTCTAACAGAGGCATGGACTGCCTACTGGCAATAAGGTTTTTTTTCTTAGCTACTTTTTTTTTTTTAATACTTCAGACACTAGGGCTGTACCACTGCCTTTGACCAAATGAAGGACAGTATTTGGAATACTACCAATGCCAAAATGTAACACCATAATGGCAAAGGTAATGAAAAATTAAGATACTTTCTAAGGTAACAATTGCACTTCTTCCCAAGCTAACATTCATATATGAAAAGATGAGTTGAAGAGGCTGCTAGAATGTTACCTGCAATAAGGAGTGACTCCATTCTTGGAGGTGGCTGTGGTGGTTTAAAAAGTTTATTGATGTCCTCCTCAGGAAGAGGGGCTTCTCCTCGGCTTTGACGTTGTATATTTTCTTGCTGACGTCTCTGCTGGTACTGAAAATAAAGCAGCAGAAACAGAATGCAACAGGACTTCCAAAGCAGCAAAAAGTTTTTCTTTTCAGATGTTCTTTACCTAACCAGCAAGTATGTTTTAAAAATTATACTTATTCAATGCAATTCAGTTTATTTCAAATAATGCAAATGCAATTCACAGTTTATTTCAATTCACTAGTAACAAGCACTTCCCCCGCAAGTTGGCACCTTAAATAAGTGAGGCACTGGAAAATTATGTGGTACTGAGGTGGTGGGGTTAAGTTTTAAAATTTTTTCATAGAGATAAATACTGTATCTGATAGAAAGAATACAGCATGGTAGATAAAGGCCTCCATTTCCCCAGGCAAAAAAGGAAAACAAGGTTGGAATATGTAGGTATGAAAAGCCATTACCTCATATAGCTGTACAAACCAGAAATACTTAATTTTATGCAAGTTAAAGGTCAAAACAATATTAATGTGAAAGGTGAAGAGAAAAAGGTATCTTAAGCCAAAAATATCAACTCTAAACCGAGAACAAAGTGGTGGCTGAAACAAAGCATAATGGTTCATTTCTCCATTCCAGTTATTTAGATATTCTGCCACTTTGATGCCATTTCTTTGTGGGTTACCAGAGGATATACTAGAGCAGCAGTTTGTAGAAATTGTTCTGCTATTAAAAAAAAAAATCAGATTTGTTTTCAGTGCTTCCCCTTGCCATGTAGATTACTCAAACTTTATAAAAATTAAGGCAGACCATTTCTTAAGCTATTGTTCTTGCAGAAGTACATACATTCAAAAACACGTATGTGAGATTTTGTATGTCACAGCCAGGAATTAGGTGTAAGGTTTGTCTATTGAAGCCCTCACGTTCAATAAAAAAAAAAAAAATCTTTAAAATAAACAGGCCAAACAGTACAGGGTGTTTTCTCTCACTTACTTAAATGTATCTGCACATAAGAGTCTGAAAACAGTTCATACTTGGTGGCATACTCAAATGAAGTAATTTTTTTTCCAGTAGTAGTGACAAATACATGTTTTTGGACAATGTTAAAAATAAAATCTTAAATGCCCATATTTGTATGTGAATTGCATGTAGTTTCTTCTTTCTTTGCATTACCCCATTCACTTCTCAGCAGTCTGCCTATTATTCTCTATTGAAACGGCTTGCTCTTAATCACAATTGCTCCATTTTAAAAATGAAGTTAAGACCACTAACTATGCTGCAATGAGCCACTACTAAAGCAGCTATAGTTAGTAAAGAAATGAAGTGAGACACCATGGAACCTACTTTGCTCTGCTTTTCAAAATAAATAGATCCCCTCGTTATTAACAAAAACCTTTGAAGCGGATGCCATCTTTCTATTCAAATTAGGCAGCAAAGGAAAATAAATTTTCTGAAGATAACATGCATGAAGCTTCTATGTCCTCAGGAATTACAAAGCCAGGAGAGACCACAGATCGTGTGCTGCCTCCCTAAAGTACTCCCCGTTCAAGCTACACTTTACTTAAGTGAAAAAAGCCAATTTTGATTTTAAAATAGTCAGCGATGAAGCATTTCACATGAACCACAGGTGCTCTTTTTAATAATTAGCTACTTTGTGTAGCAATACCTGCAATATTTTATCTTTAAAGTGGCCTGGCCCATTTTCAGTTGGCCGATACTGAATCTTGTCATATCTGTATCTGCTAGATTAAAGAGTTCAAATTTATTTTTCATGCAGGTACTTCTTGAGTAAGCAAGTCACTCATTAACTTAATTTATCATGTGAAGTGAATTGCATTCACTAAGATCTGCTTTCCAGGCTTTTAAATCATTCTTACAGTGTTTTTTTCCAATTTACCAACATTCTCCTATAATTAGACACAGTATTGCTTTATCAAATGCAGCAACAGCAAATAAAGTAATACCGTCTCCAAATCACAGAACGGTTGAGGTTGGAAGGGGCCTCTGGAGGTCACCTTGTCCAACCCCTCTGCTCAAGCAGAGCCACCTAGAGCCGGTCTCCATACTCGTATTCTCTAATCAGACTATTTTGGATTTTAAAGAGGCCCTTTGTTATTAAAAGTCAGCATCACCTGATCAGTATCACTATCTACTGATACAAAACATGACTAAAACGTCAATTCCAATCAGAGAACAGTCTGCTGTCTTTTAAATATGGACTACGTTTCTTTATTTCTAGATACATGACTACATGTGATGGTATTAAAACACAGTTTGTTTTGGAACAGTTCACTTGTAGTTTCAGCTCTTTCATGTCATAAACCTCTAATCCCTGTGTCCACAGCATATTTAGAAATGTTTTGTTTTATCATAAATCACTAACAAGCACGTAAAATAGCAAAGAAAGACCAATCCACACTATATAGCAGAAGTGAATCCATTTGATAAACCCCCATTGACTAGCACATTTTATAAATCTACTTAATGGATATGTTTCTGTAAGAATTTTATCTTGCTTATATCCAAATTCGTCTGTCTTAGATAACACCACCCAAACAGGAAAAAAATCCTCTCATTCAGGCTTTCCATGTTACCAACCTGGTGTTTCTGCTGCTGCTGTTTGCTTACATTCCTCAGGTAGGTATTGTATTTAACAATGTCTTGGCTCATCTCATCCACTCTGTCCATCAGCAGCTGCAGACTCTTCCCTAGGTGATTACTGAAACACAAGAAACATTCATGAAAGACTTGCTTATTATCTATGTTGTTGAAAAAAAAAAAAAAAAAAGAAGATTTAAAATTTAAAATTCATTTCAAGTCATTTGACCAGCACTTCTGCACTAATGGCACAGTTTGCAAATTTTTAGGTTCCTGGTTATCTTTCTTCATATATTTATTTGATGATACTTTACATGGCATCTCCTCCTCTAGCACCTTTGCCACATTGCAAATACCATATTTAAGTGTTTTGATCTTTGCAGGGAACCTCAAAGTTATGAAAAAACTGGCTGGATGGC